ACTACCCAAATTTGGGTAGTATCCACCCAGATCGGTAGAAACTGAACCTACCCAAAAATGGGTAAACTGTGTTGGGAGTGACAAGTTGACAAATGAACAACGTCGATCGGATACATGACAATGTTGTTCATTTGTCAACTTGTCACTCCCAACACAGTTTACCCATGTTTGGGTAGGTTCAGTTCTGACCGATCTGGGTGGATTGTACCCAAATTTAGGTAGTTTTGAAATAGCGTGTGGAGAAATTCAATATGACAATTCTTAACAATGGAGAAGTAACACGTTTGGCTGGCCTACCCTCGAATGGAAGTAGATTAGACCTCACACTTTGCTCTAATTCATTATCTTTGGATTGCACGTGGAATGTGATTCAAGACGATAACGATCACTTGCCGATCAAAGTTTCAGTTGCCAGTGGGTTCAATCCGTCGGAACCCGTTAACATCGCGTACGATCTTATCCGTAATATCGATTGGACAAAGTTCAAGAATGTGATAGAAGATGCCCTAACGTCGGTAGAAGGGCTTCCACCATTGGAGGAATATAACTTCTTCTCCAATCTGATCTTGGACAGCGCGCTTCAAGCTCAAACTCGGCCGGTTCCAGGAACGTCTTACCGTAGGAAACCTCCTTCCCCTTGCACAGTGGTTTAAAAGTGAAAATTCGTGAACCTAATTGTATCCTGATGTTTGTGTACATTTTAGCCATTATCTTGGTGGGACCAGCAATGCACTGGGGTTTATCGTAAAAAGTCCGACGCGTTTAAGCTTTTCCGGAACCGTGGAACACCCGTACATTTCGAAGCGTACTCGGCTCTTGAAGGCGAACTCAAGAGCCTCATTAAAGCCAAGAAACGCGGATACTGGCGGCAATTCGTGGACAGATTATCACGCAAAACGTCGATGAATACGTTTTGGAGTACGGCGCGAAGAATGCGTAACCGGTCTTCAAACAACGAGAGCGAGGAGTACTCGAATCGTTGGATTCTCAAGTTCGCGCGAAAAGTGTGTCCTGATTCCATGCCGGCACGGATGATTCCTCGCGAAACGACGAATTCGGTGGACGAGATGAGCCAGCCTTTTCAATGGTGGAACTCTCAATCGCGCTCCTTTCGTGTGGCAATTCGGCTCCGAGGGCTGGATGGATCAAGTTCAACTTGTTGAAGAACCTCCCAGACGTCACTAAGAGGCGCATGTTGAACTTGTTTGGTCAGTTCCTGGAGCTCAATATTGTCCCGGATGATAGGAGGCGGGTGAGAGTTATAGCCATTGAAAAGCCAGGCAAACCCGCGTCAGATTACAACTTGTACCGACCCATCGCGATGTTATCGTGTATTCGAAAATTGTTGGAGAAAATGATCCTTTTCCGCTTGGACAAACCACCTACTCTCAGATACTCAGGGTACATGGGCAAGGGAACGTTTCCGTAGGGGCAAGGGAACGAATGACTGTCTCGCGTTGCTTTCCATAGAAACTCAGCTGGCTTTTGCTAAAAAAAAAGAGCAAATGGCTTCTGTTTTGTTGGATATCAAGATGGTTTTTGATTCAGTATCGATTGAAGTCCTTTCAGACAAACTCCACGCATGTGGACTTTCTCCATCAATTAATAACTTTTTGTACAATTTGCTGTCAGAGAAACATATGAGCTTTTCTCATGGAAGCTCTACAGCTTCACGATTTAGCTACATGGGTCTCCCCCAGGGATCATGTTTAAGCCCCCTTTTGTATAATTTCTACGTCAGAGAAATTGATAATTGTCTTAGTGAAAACTGCACGTTGAGACAACTTGCAGATGACGGCGTAGTGTCTGTCACAGGGCCCAAAGGGTTCGACCTGCAAGGGCCCTTACAGGATACCTTAGACAATTTGTCTACTTAAGCTATTCAGCTAGGTATCGAATTCTCCACGGAGAAAACTGAGTTGGTAGTTTTTTTTTAGGAAGCATAGCCCAGCACAACCAAAGCTTCAACTTTTGGGTAAACCGATAACTCATCCTATGTCCTTAAAATATCTTGGGGCTGGTTCGATTCTAAATGCACCTGGAGATCCCACATTGAGTATCTGAAGCGGAAATGCCAACAAAGGATCAATTTTCTCCGTACAATTACCGGAACGTGGTGGGGAGCCCATCCGCAAGATCTTCTAACGTTGTACCGGACAACGATTTTATCGGTTTTAGAGTACGGTAGTTTCTGCTTCCAGTCGGCGGCTAAAACGCACGTCATCAAACCGAAACGGATCCAGTATCGTTGTCTTCGTATCGCGTTAGGATGCATGCACTCGGCTTATACGATGAGTCTTGAAGTGTTGGTGGGCATCTTGCCACTCTCTGATCGGTTTTCGGAATTGTCCCTCAGGCTCCTCACCCGTTGTGAAATTATGAACCCACTGTTGATTGCAAACTTTGAGGAGCTTCTTGAGCTAAACCAAAGAGCTAAACCATCACACTCGTTTTATGTCAATGTACTACGTGTACATAACACAGGATGTCAGCCCTTCGCAGCATAATCCCTATCATGTTTGCTTCACCGACTTCGGAAATTCTGTTCGTTTAGATTTATCCATGACGCAAGAGATTCGCGGAATCCCAGAGCATCATCGTTCCATGATTGCTTCGTCAATTTTCACTCCAAAGTTTGGCCAAGTTGATTCCGCAAGATCGTTCTTCACAGATGGATCACTAATAGAGGCGTCCGCTGGTTTTTGTATTTATAACGAATTTCATAGCGCCTCTCGAATGCTTTATGCCCCTTGTTCCGTATATGTTGCTGAGCTGGCGGCAATACATTATACGCTAGAAACTATCGCCTCACTTGCACCAGATCATTATTTTATTTTTACGGATAGTCTCAGTTCTGTCGAGGCTATTCGCTCCATGAGGCCGGTAAAGCACTCCTCGTATTTTCTCATGAAAATACGAGAGCTTCTAAGGGTTTTATCTTTAAGATATTTTGTCATCACCTTTGCATGGGTCCCATCTCATTGCTTGATTCCGGGCAATGAGAAAGCGGACTCACTTGCAAAGGTGGGCGCTATGGAAGGCGATATTTACGATCGACAGATCGCCTTCAACGATCTTTTCTTCATTAATGGTCAACAGTCGCTCGCCAGCTTTCAAAATAAATGGAGTTTGGGACGATGGCTATATTCGATCATTCCTAAGGTGTCGAAGAATCGTTGGTTCAACGGGTTGGATGTGGGTTGAGACTTCATTCGTATGATGTTTCGCCTCATGTCCAATCACTACTCGTTAAACGCTCACTTGTTCCGTGTTGGGCTGGGGACAGCAATCTCTGTGAATGTGGACAAGGTTACCAAGACGCCGATCATATTATTTGGTCTTGTGCTGAGCATCGTGGAGTCAGATCTGAGCTGTATGATTCGCTTCGGGCTCGAGGTAGACAACCTAAGGTTCCAGTTCAGGATGTTTTGGCTGGGCGTGATCTGGAGTTTATGAAGCTCATATATGTTTTCTTGAAGAATATTAACCTTAGATTGTAAGTTTGATTAACCTTGTGTTTAGTTTGCATTTTGGTTGTGTGTGTGTTTTGTAATAATAGTATAATTACAGTGTTGATATCAAGTTGAATAGGAATAAGTTCATGTTCTCCTTCTCCCTCACCCCATCCATGAAACTGTAAATCTCTACTAATCTCGAGACGACCGCGAGTACTCTCGCCAATCTTCAACTGTTTAAAAAAAATGATGAGTTCATAATAAAAATAATTATTATGTTCCTACTTACGAGAATCGAAAAACGAACAACTAGGTACTGCCGTTACAAGACAGTCACTGCACTGATTTGTTTTGTTTACCAATTTGACACCGTGCGGTGGCAATCGAGGGATTACTACGATGTGTATCGCCAACCTACACGAAACGAAAATTAATTATTTCATTCATTTTTGCCAAAACATAGGTCCTATAAGAATGCATATATGGTATGTGTGACCATTTATATATGTCATTTGACACATGATCATTAACTGTTTGCAAGGTGTCTACTTATTACTTGACTTATAAATTTTTTGAATAATCAGCAATAGAAATTTGCCAAAAGGTATAAAGTGATTTCTATCAGCTGCACAGTAAAACAAATTGTAATATCGATCAACGTAATTCAAGCTGAATAATTATGTAATAGCAAAAAGCAGATACAATATTACATCAATGGATGTAATTTTGCTCGCAAAATCAATGTACATCGTACAACGAAATATTACACAACCAGCGGAATGACCTCTGTGCAGCTGTTTGGATGTAACATTCAACCACTTTTTTCTGTGTGTTCTATTATCGGCAACCCTAAAAAAGAGCCATATTTTGTAGTGCTAATATTTCATTTAAAGAAAAATATGGCATAAAAGGATTGTTCAGTAGTTAAACTGAAATCAGATTGAATCTGAAAAGCTTAAGAATCGTTTGAATACATCCAGCGGATGAGAAAATACAGTGAAATTAACGTTTAAATATTGATTGCCTAAAATAGTAAATGGGTGCTAAAACACAAAATTGAACCTAGTTGATTGTTTTTTTTAGATTGAATAAAGCAAAGAAGAAAACGAGTGCTCAAAACAGATGCAAAGTAAAAGAGCACTTGGCGATTGCGCACTTGTCAAGAGTCCAGTTTCAAATGCAAAATACAATAATGTAAGCACACAACCACTTAGAACCACTGCGAATTTCAGTTTTTTTTTTCTTCAAACCGTAAACCACAGTTGCTTTGAGCTGCATAATTTAGTATAGATGAAAGTAAATGTGTTATAATTTGGATCAGACGACTGACTGTTACAAAGAATCAACCTTAGGTAGAAACAAACAAACAGCTTGCCGACTTTGGAACCATTACACAATGTCGCAGTATTATTTTATTTTTGTGAATGGAAAGAAGTCTGAAGGTAGTTTAACACATGTTCACGGTATATACAAAGATCCTCATAAAACCTGATCGAGATATTTACATATTGTCGTTCATTATCAACAATACAGTGCTACAATCGTTAAAACCACCGACCGATGTCTAAAGGAGCACAGTTCTCGCTGATACTTGTCGTGAGTCACAACGTGCTTTTCTTGCTAATCAATAATTTGTGTATGATGAAGGTACTCGTAGTGATTATTGCTCTGTGCTCTTTAATCGCAGTAGCACTTGCTGGGCAAAGCGTCCTGTTAAACGCAACTCATCCAGGTTTGTAATACTAATTGGCACTTTGTTGATCACATGGCAACGAGTGCTACAATTTGTGATGTGATTCCAGATCATCCGGGCAAGTGCTACGATTCTTCCTCGGATATTGAGTTCAATCCTGATGAAACAAAATCGATTCCCGGCACCTGTACCGAGGCTTTCTGCTCCAAGGATTTCTCCCTGACTTACACGAGGTAAACGTTTCTATTGCAAAAGAAGAACATGAACCATCTATATCTATCATTTTAGCTGCATTGTGTATACACTAGACGACCCAAACTGCGAAAAGATAGAACAGGATTTAAGCAAGGACTACCCAGAATGCTGCAAAAAATATAAATGCGTACACGATGGAAAAGTTTCTTATCATTGATCATTTTCCAGCAGTGAAATGAATGTATACTTTATATATGCAGTCAGCGTTGCTAGAACTATCGATAAATCGGTATTTGTACCGATTTTTTTAACGCCATATCGATAAATAATTGAGGACAAAAATATATACCGATTTTCTGTTTTTCATACCGATAAATACCAAAATTCTGTTCTGTTCTTGTGTTGTACACACAACGCACAGCAGCTTAAGCAACAGGTGAAAACTAACGATTTTAAATTGGCTCACTTGACTAGCCTATTGGTCCCAAGCTAAAGATTAACGTACCCCATTCTAGTCGAAATTCTAGTACTACACTGTGTTTGTTTTGATTCGCTATGAAAGTTTGACAGATAAAATGAGAGGCTCGTGGGTTTTCCTGTTTCGAGGGTTGCATCGATTAGCTTGGAACCGAAGATAGTCAGAGCTGAGCCAAAAAGTTGATCACGTTTCTTCGGGACCTACTAGTCTTAGAGTTACCTCTATGGCTTAAGCGCCACTCTCTGACTAGAAAGACTGCTGACGCGTTTTCCGGTCCGGCAATGAGACTCGGTCTGAGGGCGAGTTTAAATGGCTCAAACACTACGGTTTCCCTAGCTTACCCAAACGGGAAACAAAATATGCGGAAAGGAAAGAACAAACTCTTAATACTATAGTATTTAGGACGAAGCTTAATAATCAACTAGGCGAAAAAGCATTTATATTTTCTTGGAACTTCTCAGAGTTAAAACAGCCGGACTATTTACATTGGTCTGGGGAAGGTTCCTAAATTTGAGCTCAAATTGACTATTCTATACTTACGGTTTCGATGCTACTGTCTTCTGCCCCTACTACAGCACGGTGGGCGCCGTTCCGCTGAACGAAGAATGCTCGATGCGTATAGATCCCGATGCGACAAAGGCGGTGTTCTACGACGAGGTGGCGTCGGTAGCATTGGTGCTCAGCACGGAAAACAAGATCGACGAAAAACAAATCAAGGAAAAAAAACGTGGTTTTCCTGAGCCGATCGATGATTTCTGCCTTCGTGAATCAATGACCGAAGTTATCACGAAATTCAGCGTAAGAGGCAGAACAGTCCACACGCAGAAACCATTCGGCCTCCGTACCCGGTTTTATTAATCCGCGGATGCATATTAGCAAAATATCTGCATCTCCGCCCACAGAATCAAACGCACGTTCGCAGTCATTCATCCATCTCTCAGGAACCGCCAGTAAACGATGGGACAAGGTGCCTTACATTCCGATACTCTGGTGGCCGAACTAACTCGTTACTAGCCAGTTCCCGGCGTAAGTCATTGTTTTTTTTTTTTTTTCATTTGGAGAATCAGGATCTCTTCGTCGAGGGCATCCTCCTCCTCGTTGTCTGCTGTTAATTCTCCTCCATCACTGGCTGTCGTAAAAAGAACGCAGAAGAATCATAAAGGTAACTATAAGACCAGAAGGTCCCGAAGAAACGTACTCAACTTTTTGGCTCAGCTCTGGTACTATCCCAAGCAATCAATGCACCCCTCCAAACATATGAAAATCCCCGAACCCCTCATTTTATCTGTCAAACTTTCATAGCGAATCAAAACATAGTGTAGTACTAGAATTTCGACTAGAATGCAAAGTAAAGCAGGAATACCTAAAATTCGGTAAAAAATAACGATAATCGAACAAAAGTGCACCTACCTAAATTATACACTCGGACATGAAGCATAAGGCTTTTTTTAAGGCGTTAAGATTGTTTAGTTCACTAGACTTGAAGCAACAATCAATACGAAACTAACGATTTTAAATTGGCTCACCACTTAAGTAGCCTATTGGTCCCAAGCAAACGATTAACGTACCCTATTCTAGTTGAAATTCTATTACTACACTATGTTTGTTTTGATTCGCTATGAAAGTTTGACAAATAACATCAGGGGTGTGTGGATTCATGCAGAACATGCAGGGGTGAGTGAAATAGCTTGGGACTGCTTGGGACCGTTGTTCTGGTACTGAGTGAGCCAAAAATAATAATGATTTTCTTCGGGACCCAGTGGTCTTAGAGTTACCTCTATGCTTGAAGTGAACTAAATAAAAATCATTAGAAATCCCGTCACGCGAATCGCCAGGACGGGATTTCATTTTCATTTTGATTACTTGGACTGGCACAACTCCAAGTAATTTTGCCAGTTCATCTTTGATCTGATCCAGGGATTCATCACTGGGCAGTCCTTTCATGACAACCTTCAACACACGTTCAATTTTGGTGTCGTAAGTTAAAAATTTATGCTGCTTCTCAGTAAGATACTTGAGAAAAGACATTTGAATCCGTCCAAGGTTTCAGCCAATACACGGCTTCAACCAATACACGGCGGCAGTGAAAACTTCAATTTCACGAAGTTCAAAAGTTTCGTGCGAAGAGCATGGAAATCGAATGTGGTTATCATAATAGGGGGAATCTTTTACTTCTTGGCATTAAGCCACGAAAGTTTGTTAGAATTTTTCCTGGATGATGGATCATTCTCATCATCCGCGAGCAAATCAAATTTATTGCTCAAATTAATTTCATCAGGAGGGGGATCAAGAGATTGCCCCTTTTCTTTTGCGCTTAGGCGCCATGGCGGCTGTAAATTTTTTATCAACTTCGACTTCCAAGCAGATTACTATAAGAATCTGAAGGATCGAAGAGGAATTTTCCAAATCGATATCCAAAAAGGATTACGTCGGGTAGGGTCCAAAGAAGGATCGAAGGGGAATAAGAGTCGAAAAGGTAGACAATTTAGAGGTATATTGAGCACTGAAAAGTGCTCTTTAAATTTGTTGTAACTTTAGGTAGTAACGGGTGTTCAATAAAAAATGAGAATGATTTCAGTGCCGTCCAGCGCTCTTATGAGAGCGTCGTACGGCTGACCAGGGCCTCTTCTCCAATATTCATCGACGTTTTTTTGAAGAATAAATTTTTTTTTACTAGCTATATGACTGAATTTTTTTTTTTTCATTTTTTTTAGTAACAATTCCTTCAGCAAAAAGCAAATAGATCCGCATGGCACGATGCGGACTCAACCCCAATGATGGTTTGCTTTCTAAAACCAGTATTAGGGCTACATTGAGCCTGTTGATATTTTTTTCTTGATTTTGTTTTCCGTACTGAGCACCAATGCTACCGACGCCAGGGAGGCAGCTCCCACAACTGGACCCTACCTAAAGACCCATCAACTCATGAACCGGGGACCAACAGCTTTACTTCTCTACCCTATCAATCATGGTCTATGTGATTTAAATGGGTAGGGCCATGGTACCATTACGTATGATTTTGTGTCCTTGCTGTTGCATACACCATTACTGACTAACTTAACCTATTTAATGTCGCAAAAATTATGTTTTCGTCCCTTATTTATGTTTCCACTTGGGGCCCCTTCCTTAGCTCAGTCGGTAAAGGCGCAGCTACAAAGCAATACCATCCTGGAGGTGACTGGGTTCGATTCCTGGTCCGGTTTAGGAATTTTTCAGGTAGATTTTTTTTCCCGACTTCCCTGGTCATAGAGTATGATGGTACTTGCCACATAATTATACAAATGAAAAAATGGTACAAACATCGAAAGCTCGCAATTAATAACTGTGGTTGAGAGCACGCAATAAGCTAATAGGGATAAGAAATAAGCTTGAAATGCGAAGAAGTTATTTTTGCACTCTACCAACTCCGAAAATGTTATCACACTCACAATTTATGGAACTTAATGGTAATGTTAATGTGACTCTCTCTCTCTCTCTCTTCAATTTCAGATGTGGTTCAGTACATGTTTCCAGTCCAGACTGCGTAGAAATTGAACAGGACCTAAGCCAGTCTTATCCGGAATGCTGTAGAAAATACAAATGCGTTATCAATGGGGAAACCAATTATCTGTAAAAGCGCCGTACCTATCAAGAATTAAAGGTGCACTTGTTTTATGTTTTATGAGCTATATTTTATCGCAGGGTGTTCGGAAAAAATAACTCAACATCAATAGCTTTAGCGGTAATACTTATTTGTTTCTATTTGCAGATTTCAAATGCCCTGGAATAGTGATGTCTTGTATTTTCGTTAGCAGATACTGATTGATTCGTAGAATAAATAAAATGCATCACAACTTACTCGACACATTCTTTCTTTAAGTTTATCAACAACTCATCGTCCGAAGCTGAAAAATCTGAATCGATTATCTTCTCTTTTTTTATGGCAGGCAGTTTCGTCACACTGGTTTTCGAACAGGGCCGCTTCCGATCCGGTCTCCAATCATCATCATCATCATCGTCGTCGGTATTGCTTGGAGTAGCTGTGATCTTTCTTCTAGGTCGGCCACGTTTCCTTTGGGCACGAGAAGAGGTTGAACTGTTACTGCTGCCAGCTGTCGCTTTGGCCAGCAGGTAAACTTGTTCGCATATTTCCTCCATTTGTTCCTCTGACAGTTGATCCAACTCCAAGACCATGCTCGGATGAGTCTCTAGGAAATCCTTGCAGATTGTATGGACGGTATATCCGGATTCATTCTCGTAGATAAGTGGCATCTCGATGGATCGGCTGAACATGAGTTCGGACATTTCTTCGTCGTTGACAACACGGGCATAGTTGATGATGTCCTCGACAGAACCGCATACTGTTCGATATGCGTCCACCTTGCTCAGCACCAGACCATTTGGGAATAGCATCTTGATTTTAAGGAACTGGCTTCTGAATTGGCTGAGATCTTTCAGCAGAAAATCCTTGTCGTGAGCGTTGTGCAAAAGGATCTGGTGTTGATTCAGAAGTTTAAGCTGCTTGAATTCCCGTTTACAGTAGCGACAGTTGTACTGAGCGAGATGATTTCTCATGTGTTTAGCGATGCTGTATTCATTACTGAACACATCAGTACAACAGCTACAAATGTGACGGATTCGAACGGATTTCGGGGTCAGGGAGAAACTGCTGGGTTCTCCGGCATAAATGCATACGTCAATATGATTTTCGTACTCATAACGACTGTCAAAGGTCAACTTACAGTGGTTGCACGTGTAAAGGCTGTTGTTCTGCTCGAGCATTCTATGAAGGAATTCGTCATCCATGTAGTCGCAAGGGTCTTCATTTTTGCTAGCGCTGTGATACACCTTGAAATGTTTCAGCAAATCGATTTTTTCTCCTGTGACAACATAGGGACACTCGCCACACTTGAATGCGTTCTGATGATCCACACACGCAAAGATCTGGCCGGGGTGATTGACCATGGCGTGCATTTTGATATCATAATACGTCGACAGTTTGTCACAATAGAAGCAACGAACGAGTTTGTACAATTTATACATCAGGGGCTTGCCACCACCGTCCTCCTTGTGCAGCTTGCTCCAATGCTCTACCATGTCGTCCATCAAGTCACACTGCACCTGACAATAGTAACAGACATACTTTACAAAATAGTCGAAACGCTTTCGTTTTTCCTTTTCGATAGCTGAGTCATCGAAAACAACCAACGTTTGATCTGGATGTTGTTCGAGAAAATGGCTCTTAGTATCCCCGGCATTGACCGACACGAAAGAACACGACTCAATTCCACAGCTAAATTTTCTTCCCTTGTCATCACCTGATCCAACTTGCTGACATGCCGATTCCGATTGATCCACTGGAATTTTCTTAGGCGGTAATTCATGGAACAAAGAAATTATAAGTATTTCGCTGTTTGGGTGATTTTTCGTAAAGTGTAACTTGAAAGATTCATTATCGGACGATTTATACGCGCAATACGAACATTTGTACTGATTGTCCGTTAGCTTGTGATCTTTTGTCATGTGCTCCACCATCTCCGCTCTGGATGGACGAATCATTTCGCAAAGATCGCACTGCCATTCCGGATCTGCAGTGTAGTGCGCTTCCCGTAGCACCAGAACCGACCCCAAATTCCCATGACACTGCTTGATGTGGGCCAAGATAAGGAACTTCTCCTCGCGAAGATAGTCACATTCTTGATGGTTGCATTTGTACAGGTTATTTCCATGCAGTTTCAAATGGTTTGCAATCTTGTCAATGCAAATAAAACCATCACTGAGAACAGCATTACAGTGCGGACAGTTGTATGTCTTCTCATTACGATGTGTCCGGTAAACATGAGTTCGCAGATCGGCAAACACCGGAGGACAATCAAATTTGCATATTCCACACTGGTACAGCTTGATCGGATCAACTCTCTGAGGAATAGTTGCGCTAGAGGCCACTTCATCAGATGCAAACATAATGTCAGGTTCATCAGGCGGCATACATTCCAGTTCTGGTAGGTTTGCTATGCTCACAGCAGATGCATCGTTATGTTTCTCCAAATGGCGCTTGAGATTCTTCCTAATCTTCGTCGTATAGTCACAGCTGGCACAGAAAAGATCCTCTGCGAAGATCTCCTCCACCGGAAGCTGATCAATTTCGCTCGGAGCGAACCGCTTTTTCTCGCTTATACCTTCCTCCTTTAGGATATTATTCGCATAATCCTGCAACTGCCCAGCAGTCACATTCTGCGGACAAATAATCACCAGATCATTATGGATGTCCCGCTTTTTCGGGTGCAGGTAAGTCAAGATCACATCGGTACTGTTATGATCGTGCTGCACGTGCAAAATCATCATCTTCAGAAAATGGCTCTTGCGATCGCACATAAAACACAAATAACGATGTCGCCCGTGAGTCTTCACATGGGTTATCAATTCATGCGCCGTTTTGAATCGATCCGAACAGTGGAAGCAGTTGTAATTCGATAAGTTATGAAACTTGAGCAAATGCAGATTCAGTTTCACCGGATCAGTAAACTTGCTGTTACATCCCTCGACCCCACAGACATTCAAAGCCATTCCGCAAAATCCCGTGTGCTCTATCATCTGGCTCACTTTTTTCTCCAACCGATCAAACTTGTCAATACTTCCCTTGAACAGGAAATCGATCCGTATCTGAGTCGTGCTGGAAAACTTCTTCACCAGTGGCGACTCCTTGGAACAACCCGGCTGAGGAGATGGTGACGGAACAGGCGTACCAGATTTACTCGAATCTGCCCGAGAATCTTCGTCGGATTCCAAACTAACACCATTACTGTTACTGGATTGCGTATCCGCTTCAGCTACCGTAGTTTTGTACATATCGCCTTTGGATTCGGCAGAGCTCGTCACAACGGTACTGCTACTGACCGGTTCTTGCGGTGGCTTTGCTTTCGTTGGTGCCATTGGAAGAGGCCCTTGAATCATTGGAAGCGATTGTACATTTGTGATAATCGGAGTCGAACTCATCGCGGAAGTTGTTATAGGCTTGGCAGTGATTGTAATACCGGGAATGTTGGGTATAGTTATCAGACCACTGGGAGTTATGGCTGTCAGTGCAGGAGGTTTTGGCACAACACTGTTGGCTGATGGAACTATCGACGGCGACTCCGGTGGAAGCTGAGCTACACTCTGAACGCAGCTTATCACAGGAAGTCCATCGTTTCGATGAATAGCCGTCAGTGGAGGCAACGATACCATGCCTTGAACGCTGCTAATCACCGGAAGCGGTGATTGCTTGTGAGAAGCAAAACTTTGAACACCACCCTGTACAGAGCTTATCATCGGCATTTGTATCGGAGGTGGACCAGTGGCACTCGGTCCCGTTGTTATGGTCGTAGGTTGACCAGGTCCTGAAGGGGCAGGTGGTCTAGCATTCTGTACCGGAATGGATATGATCAATGGACGACCCGCTTCATCAGTAATTTGAATCTGAATATTCGAAGCCTCTGTTGATGAACTTGGTCCTGCAGTAGCAGGAGTTGCGACTGCATTCGACATGATCTTGTTTACCACCGGTTCTTTTTTCGGGTATGCCATGGATTGATTGACTTGTAAGCCGATCGGTTTGTAGTTCAACTGTTCAGGAGTATAGTTGCACCTTTTGAACAGATCCGGAGATACCGTGCAACTCATCGTTTTCAACTCCATCGATTCGATCTTATTAGGCGGATAGTCCACGCCGTCTGGTCTCTGAAATTTAAACACTAGAATTATTATCATTTTCCCAACTAGGTATAATCTCCCAAGTACGTACCTTCTTATTATAACGGACACAGCAGTACAGTGGTTTTGAGCAATGCGCATTGCTCACGTGAAGCGCCATGGTCGATTTGGTGTTCGCACCGAACAAACAATAGACGCATTCGTACAATCCTATCGAATGTAGCAGCAGATGCCGAGCCATGCACTTTTTGTCGATGCTCATATTGCACACCTGGCAGCTGACCATAGCCACCCCATGGCTAGACAGATGGTTCATGTACGCCGACAGGATGTAGAACGACTCTCTGCATACTGTGGAGTAGACAGGGATGATGATATTTATGAGTACATATCCAAGCAGTGTTTTCAGTTCTACAGATTGTTTTAATCTACGGAATCTAAAAACTTCGGCACCCCCGCCATCACTTTTACAAAATTTAACTTTTCGAATTACTATTTTTTTGGAAAATTGTCATTAAATTTAGCAATAATTAACGCAGTGCAAACAAATTTACCTATCTACGCATTGTACTCCTTGAAAGTTAACAAAACTGTGTCTCCCTTATGTAGCTTAGTTGGCTAAGGCTAGCTATAAAGCTAGACCATACTGGAGGCGGCTGGCTGGGTTCGATTCGCAGTACCGGTTAGGAATTTTTCGGGTTGGAAAATTTCTCGACTTCCCTGTTCATCGAGCATGGTTGTACTTGCCACACATTAATAATAATACATACAAAAATGGTACAGGCATAGAAAGATCTCAATTAACAACTGTGGAACTGTATCTAGAACACTAATTTGAGAGCCGGCGTAAAGTCCCAACGAAGAAGAGAAGATCCAAGTAAGGGTCTCTTCACGTGGACAGTTTGAGGTAATAACGGAGTGTGTGGCGAGTTTATGGATGACTGTCCATCCTTCTATAAGTAAACACTTGATTTTGTGAGTTCCATTACATTCTCCCGAATACCACTCGCCCGAATTTCACACAAAACCGAGAGATATTCTCCCGAATTTCAATGAATTGCATTTTCTTTAAAAACCAAACTCTGTATGATACCCAGTATAGCGAAAAAAGGCTCGAACATTGGTGGGAGGAGGAGGGTAAAGCCCACAGTAAAAGTATGGACGTCTGTCAAAAGTTATTCCAATCGAACCATCAAAATGCACCACTTTGCTCGATTGGAACAGCTTTTTTTCACTTTTGTGGTGACAGTCGTTCATACTTTAACCACCGACAAACCGACATGACACCTAATTCTGACTTATGCCCGAAAATCGTAAACGGCCAATTTAAATGTGCAGTGAGAAGCGTGCTTTGGTCAGAAATTTTATTGTTTTTGCTATGGTCACTCATGTCGGTTTGTCGGTGCTTTAATTAGAGGGCTTTAGTGGAGGGTGGTAACCAATGAGCTGGATTACCGAGGTGAAGCAATCGGTTAAGTTGTGTGAGTAAAACCCCTGTACGATACAAGCAATTAGTGACGTCACTACTTGCGTTTACGTTGATTTTTTGGTTTACTAATACAACTATATTTCACGATCTGCTTCACGTCTCTCTGTACCTCATTGGGTGGTAACGACTATTTACATATCAGGAGAACTTCGAGAGTAGGGCGTAATTGCTTTCGTAAACAAACACTTCATTTGAAGATTTCTCTCGAATTAAAGCTCAATATCACAAACTAACAACACAAACAGGTAGATGAATGGTATAGTTTGTTCACGAGATTGTTCTTTTATTCGCGAGAAATCAGCGATTGACATGTTTGTTTACAAAAGCAATTACGCCCAAATCTCAAAGTTCTCCCGATATCCGAAAATTATTGAGGGAGCAAAAGCGCTCGCACCACACCTATGCCTGTATTACTTATGCCGGGATACACTTGTATGACAAACTAAGAGCATAAGCATTATTTGTATAATAATTATGAGCACTATACAACAACTATACACAAACTATACAAGTCTGACCATAGATGTGCTTATAATCTGTTATACAAATAATGCTCATGCTCATAGTTTGTCATCTCAAGTATGTCCGCGGCATTAGTTACACACTTGGCAAGTTATAGATTGAATATCACTTCTTTTTATCAGTAATTCCAAAATAGACGAAAATATTTGATTGGAAGACAATTTCATAATACCTATTCATTTTTTTTTTAAATATTACCAAGTAGGGGTAAGAGGGGCATAGTGAGCATCCCGTGCACCAGCTTGGACTTCCGGTCGTTCGGAACAAATTAGTTGGTAGTAGGATCACCGACAAACCGACATGACACCTAATTCTGACTTATGCCCGAAAATCGTAAACGGCCGATTTAAATGTGCAGTAATCCGAACTGTCAAAACCATAGGATATTTTTATCTAGATAAAAATAATTTGTCCAGAATAGATCAGACACGAACCAATCCATACATTTTACATGCGGGCTCATGGCTTAGCTAAATATTTCCCGCGAACACGGAACCAGATGTCAGTAGTGTGCTTTGGTCAAAATTTTTACTGTTTTTGCTATGATGATTCATGTCGGTTTGTTGGTGGTAGGATCAATATCATAATGATATTGAACCTACTACCAGTTGATTTGTTTAATGCAGCTAGAGCTCCAGGATCAAACTGCGGGATACTCACTATGCCCCACCTTTTCACTATGCCCCTTCTCCCCCTACCCGAGCAAATTTGGAGATCAAATTTAAATCAAAATTTGCTGTTATTATGTAACATTTATTGATTACTCCAGTTGATCTCGTTTTGTATGGACTAACGGTTAACACAGCAACAATGAGAGCAAAATTATAAACTGTTGAATCAACCGGAAAACTAATCCTGCTTTCAATTAAATCAATTTGATTACTGATTTTGCATTCATAATATTTAACTGAATACGGGTCTGGCGTAAATGGTTAGCATGCATGCTTCTCACGCTGAAAGGCTTTAAAGTTTAAATAATACCCGGACAAGTCAGGAATGACCTAAAATTATGACTATTTATCAATTTTATCTAGCTGAATTTATGTATGGGCCCAAATTAGGGGCATTTAGGCCTACATTACATCCATTTCCCCTATGGCATTAGACTTATGTCGCGGCAATTAAAATCAAAATGAGTCTTCATTTTGATATGAACAGCTAACTTTAATATCGATTTGCTTTCATTTTGTTAAGCAGCTTTGCTCGGGTACCACTGTTTTCTTTCTTCAAATCTACCCAATCAGCTTATTTAAAAGCTACACCAGTTAGATAGCTTAAACCAAAGATAGCATCTTTGCTAAAACGCTGGCCAAACTGAGCAGTTATAACATGTTGTAAGCCTATCTATTACATTTTCTTGTCGATAATTATTATAACATGTTATTATTCTGTAGTCTAAACGTGGTACATATAAGCCAATCTGCTGGTTTGTAAGACTTAAAACCCCTAATGAAGTTTCCACTAAAGAGGCTGAATTTATAAAGAGACGACATGTCAAAAATTGAACAATCGATTATCTGTCAAAGTCATAGGAAAAGTTATTCCAATCGAGCAGAAGAGTAGTTTCAACGTGTGTCAATTCCCCGAATGCACCAAACTGTGCACCAGCTCTCTTAACATAATACTTGCAATGGATAAATATAAGTAAAACTAGAAGATCATGTGCATTTTGCAATCGATTTGAAGATAATTATTGCTAGATATCACGTTTTTAAAGCTGGTGTACAGATAAAAAGTGAGGTTCGCCGACGCCACCTCGGACGCCACTGCATTCGAGGTAATAAAATTCGGCGAATATAATATAGCAATATAGCACAACTTTTTTCTCAGTGTACCGAGTGTGCCACTCGAACTGGTTGAAAATTGGTGTTCATTTTAGCAGATTCGTAGAAAATTTTCCAATTGACTTTTTAAGAATTAAAATCCATCTGCTATTGAAAGAGTTATAATTGGTCAAAACCTGACCACGAGGAACCCCTCGCGAATGCGGTCGAATTCTTTCAACCGCTTGGCGAAGACAACATTGAAACGGATCTGTATTTACAGACGCAGGCACAAACTGCTGCTGATATTACCCGTAATCGCTGGAATGTCGATGCTAAAGGGAGAAGCTCTTCCGGGGATCGAAATTGGCTTCTGAGATCAACCAATCTGTCAGTGAATTAAGACAGACCACTCTCAATGTGTGTCACGCGATCGTCTGTTTACTCGGCAGCAACAATTGTGTGATCCTCCTCATTGTTCTTCATCAGCAGTTCTTTCAGTCGATGCGTCGTCGACTTTAGAAAGCAATTGTTTCATGATGAATGTATGAGTGCAGACCACGTTTTGCGTCCGCAGCAATGAAAGCGCTCTGAACCCCGTTGACAAATCTGCCATACAATGAAACCAGTGGAAGCGGCTCCCCTTCTGGTGGAGGAGGCTTATTTTTGTTAGATTGTGTTGTACCTTTTGACTATAGTTTTAAGATGTGTTGTATAGTGAACAAGAATCCTCGGCTCTATAAAATTAATTCGGTAGAGCCTTATCAAATAAATCAATATACAAAAAAAACTTAAGCAGATATACGCATTCAAAAAGTGATGGTGTTGTGTTCACTGGTGTTGCCGGCATCTTTACCGGGACGACCATGTACCCAGTGGACCAACAGTTATCGGAAACCACCATTCTACAGTTACATCACAATCAAGATCAACATAAACACCAGCTAAAACTGACATAGCCCTCCTAGTCGACTTCGAACTATTCAAACCGAAACACAACATACAGGGCTATTCTGCGTGGATTGTGAGGTGAAGTGACAGTGAAGTGATGGTGAAGTGACAATTGTCACCTCGGGTGAGGTGACTCTCCATTTGATTTGCACGGAGAGTCACCTCACCCGAGGTGACAATTGTCACTTCACAAGTGAGAGCTTGTCACCTCACCTCACACGCCGCGCAGAATAGGCCTGACAGAGTTGTACGGTTCTATCCATTTCTCTTGCTTTATTTCGTCATCTTTCACACCGAGCCTTCATTCCGGGTGGTGAGCAAACCTGAAGAAGAAGAAGATTACCATGAACCCCTTCTCGGAACGAGTGTATTGTATCAATATTATTAATATTAATATTAATTATTATAATATTATTTAACCTTAACTTTCTGTTTTTTCTCTATTTTTCACTATTATCTCTCTTATTACATACAAACCAACAAATGAGGAACACGGGAATGCAGCAAACGTATCAAATGATCCCCAATGGAAATTGTTGCTGGCAGCCGAAAAACAATATAAAAATGAAAATAATATACAACCGACAATATCACAGGCAAGCGTGTGAAGCATGTGAATCAAATTAATCAGTACGTCACAGCAAAGGCACAGGGGCTTATGGCAGCAGAACCCCAACAAGGAAATCAAGCAAGCCAATAGGAATTTGACCTGGGCCCAGGTCAAGCAAATGGAGGTTTCTCATGTTGCCCCTCTGCATCTCTGGAGGTTCCCAGGATACTTGAGTGAGTGAGCACGTGAAGAGGAACGTAATCTGTAGGAGCGGGAATGAAAGCGGACATAGCTCATGCAGCACAACAAATCGGCGTGCTGTTGTTGTTCTTCTCTTTTCAGAAAAAAAACAACAAAATACTCTATCGCTCTTCTCTATTCTTTTATTCTCTTACTATCCCATACAAATCTGAAGCTAGTGGTACTGCCTACGGGAGCAACAGGCCTGCTGGTGGAAGAAAGTCGTTATGCTATACGGTCTAGCATAGGCCACGACCAAAATTTCCATAGGTTTATAACTAGTTTAAGTGCAGATGGGCGGGCGATAGTCGGCCAGAGTATGAGCTGAGCAATAACAATAACAAAAAAAATCATTAGCGTTGATTAAAATGTTAAGATTTACCTACTTTTTGCATATCTATAGTAAACTATGATCATAATCTATCAATTACTTTAAAGAAACACAAATTTCAATAACTGAGTGAAAAGTTATTAACAAATGAGCAGTTGGTGTGTTCAACTGTGTATGCCAAGCATGAAGTCAGAGGAAAGGTTTGTGTATTTGCTCATTTTTCTATGCGTTGCTTCCACCTCCACTCAAGCGCAGCGCTACTGTATCTGTCGCTTGGACAACACAAAGATTTTGCTTTCACTAGTGATTTTGTGAACCTCGGTGAGAACGCAGCATGAAACGATGTACTGCTTCGGACAGGTGTTAGTATGTATCCTGTTGTTGTCCATCTCGGTTTTTGGGGAATCCATGACGGGACTTGGCCGAAAATTCGCGACTGCAGTTGCGAATCCAAAAATAGATTTACGCTGCGCATGAGCATATTCTACAAAAGAGTTTGAGAGCCATGGGTCATTTTCCACCATCGACTGGAAATGATTTCGTCATAGTTGAAAATAGAAGACCCGGTTACTTACCTCTTGCTATTTGATCGATATAGGGTGGAAAACGGCTTCAGCTTGGGGTAAACAATAACTTACAACGCTCATTTTGTGCAGCATGATACATCACAGTGCATCTTTTTCCGATTAGTTTTCTTTAGAAAAACCCTGTGCTTGGAATATGGTCTCTTGATGAAGAGGGCTGAATCCAGTGTCCACTCAATTCCAATAAGAACTACATTTCAAAAGACATTAAAGAGTGCAAGGCGAACATCTGCGTCAGTGCTACTTGGGATCAAATTAGCCAGTTTCTCTAGATATATTTCTAGTTCTTACAAATATAACGCTTCAATTTTTAAAAAAATATTTAGAAGAATGTCAACGCAGATGCCTGGGATGCATTTACCTATAATGTCTTATGAAAATTAGTACCTACTGCCACCTTCCTAAACGGTACGCCGAAACTGAATCTCAAGGACATACAATAGAAACAAATAAAAACTCATTAACTAGTACAGTTTAAAATCTCATTCGTATCTTTATTTCTCTTTGAACTGATATCTAATTCATAAACATCGAATGGATTCACTCCGTGTCTCGTTGTTAAACAAAATAAGCAATTGTCACCGATCGTCTAATCCTTACATTACGTAGAATGAAGTGAAAATTCTCATGTTTAGTTTTTGTCCACGAGGTTTGATTAACAATATAAAATGCAAATCGGAACTATAATACATCCTAGGCATCTACGAGACTGGCATTAATCTAGATCATTTCATAATAATCTTCCGTTACGAAAGGAAGAAATCATCGGCGCATTTTAGAGTATGAAAAATGGAAAATTTAACATTACGAAAATTGTGAATCAAACATTTCAACCCTAACGTCTTTCCTCAAATAAACTACTGAAATCATACTCACTAGTACAAAGCAACGGTAGGACGTTCTTCCGCAACGACTCCTGCATCGATTTCCATTCATCGTCTCCGAAGCTCTTCAGATGGTCGGGCATAATGAGGATCTTCTTCAACACACTTCCCGTCGGATGGTAGGTTTTCTGATGAACAACCACGTTCGTAGGATCTCGACTCCGGTAGAAGCACAAATTACACTGAAACCCGCAGGTGGCGTGCTCGGCATCGATGTGTGCCAGAAGCACATTGTTGTTTGCTGCTATGATATCACAATAAGCGCATTCGAGCCAACATTTCCGTCCGCTAGTATTGGCATTGTGAAGGTTTTCGTGCAACTGTAGGTGCTGCTCCATGAAGAAACGGTTGTTGGTGGTGAAAGCACATGAGCGGGACATACACTTGTACAGACAGAGCAGACTAATTTCCTCGAGCATACTGCGGCAATGTTCCTGATTTTTGGTAGTGACCATGTTCGTCCAGGGCTTCAACCGGACGGTGTTGAGTTTCAGATTGGCCATCGCAGGGACACTAGCGTTGACACCAGAACTACCGCTAGCGTTGCTTGATACAGGTGCCAATGCTGGTAGATGACATGTTGCGGCTGCTGTCTGCTGTATGACTGGTCTAATCTGAGCAGGTATCGTATGAGTTGGCGTGATGATTGTGTTGCCAGCCATTGTTACCGGAGCAATGGTGGCCGCAGATGTAATGATAATCGGTTTCTGGCCAAGGGGCATTCCAGATGGCCCTGCTATGATGGCACCAGCTGGCATAATCGGTGCCAAGGGAGGTGGATTCAAATCTCCCTTGGATAGAGTGTCGCCAGGTATCCTTCTGATACGAAGCAAATTCGGAGTGCCCGTTGACATGTTCGATAATTCGGGAGTTGGAGTTTTCCTTCTAGCGTGCACATCCAGCATATGTTGCAATTCGTTGTTGATCGTGCAATTGTCCGCAATTACTATTTGCGACTGACATGGGTGACAGTAACCATCCCATACGACCTGGTTGTGCTTCCGAGAAATGTGAGTGATGAAGTCTTGCGATTTCTTGGAAATGTACTGACATCCCGGCATAAGACAAAGGAATAAGATTTCCGATTGATGTTCTATGTAAGCGACGTGCTCGATACGAGTGCTGTCCAGTACAAGTTCAACAAAATCGAAATGTCCTTCAGCCGGTGGCGGATCCGCCGACACTTCGTCCGGTTTTTCAGTTTTTATTACGATATTTTCCGAATTAGTTAATTCATCTTCCTTTTTCTTTTCCTTCTCATCCTTTTCGACCTTGATCTTGAACGGAAGCGGAAACTCTTCCTTCTTGCGGTCGTCGCCGTCGTCACCCCCACCGGAACCAGCCGCTCCACCTGCTCGATTGGCAAGCGAAGATGATCCACCACCACTTCCACCAGAGGACGCTGGGGGTTCTGAATTACCTTCCCCTTGTTTACTTTCACCATCGCCGGCTTTATTTCCTCCATTGCTCGAGCTCTCGCCATTCTTTTGTCCGTCTTCCGCACCATCGGACATATTGAAGTCTTCTGTCTTGTCACTCGCATCCGAATCGTACTCAGTCGGAACCTTTTCCCGCTTGACCAACACCTTGTTTAAATCAAAACCGCCTTGCACCGATTGAATCTGCCAAGTCGGTATGATTGCTTCCGCTTCCGAAGATGCCGATGATTCACCAACGGCGGACATCGATTCAGGTGACATTGGCGATTCACCACTTGACGAGATGTGATTGCCTTGCAGTTCTTTTTCAAATTTGAACGAAAATGGCTGATGAATAAAATCGCAAGATACACCTGCGGATCCTATATGTATCGAATCCAGGCGAATATCAGTTCGTCGTGGCGGGACAGATGGCGGAAAGCTTTCAGCTTCCGTCATTTCGTCATCATCCGTATACGGCTGATTGACAATTTCACACGGTTCAAATGGTTCAGCCTTCGGATGGAACGGTATCATGACCGTGGGCATGTTTGGCGCGCCCAAGTCATCCATGACCTGATCTTCGTCGATGATTGGTTTAGCATCGATTTTGTAGTTAACAATGCTAAACCGACTGCAATGAGCATCCGTAGATGGGTGCTCTCGCTTTAGATGGCGCTCCATATTTACTCGACGAATCTGAATGTAATTACAGTCGTTGCAGATGAAACCATAGATGTGGTTATCTTGGAACTCGATATTGTTGTACACTACCAGCGTAGGCTTCAGGCAGGTCTTCTCATGGTAGAAACAACTCTCCAGTTCCTCAGTCTTTGACATCACCGGACAACTTGTGCAGCGATAGCGATATTCCCCAGTATGAGCTGCCACGTGTTCTATCCACCCAGATCGGCTCAGTTCCTTCCATGTCAGGCAGAAGTAGCATTTAAACCGGATCTTCTCATCCTCACCACCCTCGTTCGTGACGGTACCATTTGTGAGGAACAAATCTGCTCGAATGATATCGGCCATCTTCGGCGAAACTCGGCTCACGAACACTTCATATTGCTTATGTTCGTACACATAGTGATCCACAATGGCAGAACCGTTAAACGAACAAAGACCACAATTGCTCGAATAACTGCTATTGTAGTGCACTGCTGTCTTGTCGTTGTAAACGAAATTAACATCCTTGCTCTTTTGTTTCCCCTTTGCGGGTGGAGATTTCGTAACAGTCAACAATGAATCTCCCTCCTCCGCTGCCTTTTTATCATCCGCGGAAACAACATCTTCATCAGACGATCCAGAACGTGATCTGTCATTTGAATTTCTGTTCTTTGTCTGCTTCGGCGGTGGACTATCCGAAATAATCATCGCAGGCTGAATAATAGCTCCTGTTCTGCGGGTGTAGCCCTTGGATTTAAAATCGGTGGCATTGTCGATCAGCGCCTTAAGTTCCCTGTTTCCTACTGTTCCACGCTTCTTTGCCTTATCCTTCTTGTTCTCATCCTTTTTACCCGTGTCATCCTCCGAAGAAGAATCGATGACCGCTTTCGAACGGATTCGTTTGTACGTTCTTCCCTTCTTTCCTTTGGTAGCTGCTATTTCCTTGGGTGGGCTTTCCTTAGTATCATCTTCAGCCTTCTTCGTCTCGTCCACTTCGACTTCGACATTCTTCTTCTTACTTTCTTCCGCCTCATCGTCGGACTTCCTGTTCATCACATCGAGAATTTGTTTAACCTTATCTTCATCACCAAAACCCTTCAGTAATTCCATCAAGTTCTTTGACAGCTCCTTCTCATCCGAGTTAGTCTTCGCCTTTGGTTCATCCACTTGTGTAACTTGCGGCGCAACGTTGTCAACCTTTTCAACCTGATCGTCTTTCTTGGGATCTTCTTTCGGTTTTTCTGGTATCACCGTAGCCGGTTTCCCCAAAGTTGGCTTTTTCTGTGCTTCTTTCTTTCCGAGACGAATCGGTTCGTCCTTAGAGTACACGGGATTGATCGTTTTCTTAGCATCCTGTTTTGGAGCAACCGGTGCCGGTGCGGGCTGTCTGGTAACGGTTGGAGGTACGGATGCCCTTGGAGGAGCTGGTGGTCGGAATGACGGTCTCGTTGGAGCCACGGGAGTCGGGACCACAAACGGACGTGCTTCTGCTGACGGCCTTTGAACTGGTAATGGCGCCGGTGGTCGTGGTTTAAAGTACTGTTGATTTTGAATTTCAAATCTCTGCTGATTCGAAAACTGCATACGGCGCTGGCAATATTCGCCGTACGTTCTGGGATCTCTACTATTGAAGTTTGGTGGACCTTGCGGAGGTAGCTGATGGCGCCTTTGGAACAAAGGTTTCGGCTGTTCATGGTGCATTGGGAATGGTTTTTTGAATGGCAAATCACCAACAAGTGGCTCCTCTGCTGGGCGTTTCTTTACCTTGGTTTTATATTTGCGGGCCAAGCGCTCCGGTTCCTTAGGGTGATCGATTGGTTTCGCGAAATCTTCTACAGACTTTCTCTTTTTCTCTTGCGTTTTCACCTTTTTCGTCAACGATTCCCATCGAGTGGGAGTTCTCCAAGGAATTTGGGGTTGCTGTTTCATTTTAACAGCCTCGGACAGCACCTCTCTTGCTGGTACCTTCTGCAGCTCGCAGGGCGTATCATTTTTAGGTAGTTCTGGCGCCGAAGGTTTAACAGCCACCTTCAATGCGGGTACTTCCTTTTCAACAGGACTTTCTTTTGCAATCGTTACACTAGTATTTTCAACGACTTTCAGTGTTTCTGGCGCAGGTATTGCTTGCGCAGAATCATGTACCTTCGGGGTATCTAAAGCGCTTGGTGCAACGGAAGCCTTGACTGTGACTATGGAGTTAGCTTCAGCTTCCGGTTTCGAATTAGCAACGGCTTGTTGTTGCGATTCACTCGTTGCACCGCTTCCCACCTTCGGGGTAGGACTTTCCTCCGGTTTTTTAGTTATACTTATCAGCATTTCAACGGAAGAGGTCAGCTTCCGCAGCGTGTCATACTTCAGCCTTCAGGGGATAAAAGAGGAAAACAACATTATGCAAATGATCCATTATGCTACCGAACGTTTATTTGAATTACCTTCTCTCGGGATCACTGACCATGTCTGCAAATTTGCTATACTGTGTATTCAGTATTTTTTTCTTCCCTTCGGGACCCTGGTATTGCTCCAACAGCACACGAGCTTCATCCAGCTGTTGACAGACCTTCTCGCGAAGCTCCTGCTTCATACGTTCCCGTTCTTCCATTTCTCCCATTATCTGTAATGACACAAAATCAGATTGATCCAACATTATATTCATGGTTTACCTAAATGGTTTAGAGCAATAAATGAGCCGCATTTGTTTTTTGCATGTATTGAAAATTTAGTTTGCATATACTCTTTTTGTGAATTGAAAATTGAGTTCACATTTATTGAATTAACACAGGAAATTTTATTTCGCAACCCTAGGTGGCTCAAGGAAAATTTGTCGACAAAGTTATTTCTCAACTTTGGTAATAAACAGGTGGCACATGAATTTCTATTTTAAAATTCTAGGTTTTTCCCTTAATTAAAAAAATCCCGGTTTTATAAATCTTGTTTTAAGAAAAGAATTGAAAATGTGTAATACTAAATGTAAATTGGTTCAAAATAATTCAAGTCATTTTAATCAAAATCAATTTTGAGTGGATCTATAAGGGCAAGTGCGCCAGTTTTGGCCATAGTTTCCTATTTTGGTCATACCTCAGAAAAAGAAAAAGATCCAAATTTTGATACATGTTGTGGGCAATATTTATTTGCACCCAGATGAATACGATTTGAATCAACAATCTTAGTACAACCCATAATCTGAAACATGTAAATAGTGTCAAAATAAGGCCAAAATAGGAACATGGCCAAGATAGGTGCGATGCCCAAAAAAAAATTGTATTGCTATTTAGCTAAACGACGTGCTCGGGGTTCCATCCAAACCATTTGTGGAATAATTCTTTCATTTGGGTTATCGTTCGGGAATGGTATTTTTTCCATATTGAGGTTCCTATAAAGATATTTTTTTCATTTAAGCGAGTAACAAAATAGCCATGCTTGGATGCTTAAAGATGGCTTAGCGAGTGTCAACTCTACCAGACAGCAGACGAACGAATCAGGCAAGAAACTGAAAGATTATAAAAAACGTTCTCACCGAGTGCAAATGATAGTTTAAAGAATGAACGATACCCCAGAAACAATATTGGTTTTATGAGGGTTCTGTAGACCATGATTCAGCCTTGTAGCAAGCTTTAAATCCTCGCTAAAACTTGCAATGTTAATTGGGTATGGATCTTAAACCAACGATGAATAGCTTTTGACTCAGATTGTACCCATTTGGATTAATGTTATCTGCTTAATATAGCTAACATAAATCAAAAAGCAGATATTTGTCAATGACTTCGCAAAAATAATAATTGAAAGTTAAAAATCAGCTTACAATTTTCAGCACTTTTATAAGGCGAACGTTACACGTCAACGAAAAATTCATCATGTGAGCAGTTCCACGCCATCTGACGCGACCTTCTCCAATTTGCATAAAACTTTGCATAATCGTTTGTTATGGTCAATTATTCACATTTGAGCTGAAATTCACTTCCAATCGAAATAAAGTCGGATACAAAGTTGAAGGATAAAATAATTCCTTTTCAGGAAAATGTACACGGCATCAAAATTCAAGCGTTTTCGAGCAATAAATTGACGTTTGAATCTTTGCTTACAAAAGTAGAATTATTTTTTAGTCTTTCAAATTAGACTTACTTCACTTTTTCATCTCATGGTAGATCAATAATGTATATATTTAAGCGTTTGCGATACACTGAACTTAACAGACCAGAACTCGAGGGTCACGCAATACAAAGAGCCGGTGCGTTGAAGTTAAAATGCAATCAAAACTACTTTAAGTAATTAATGCGTTTTGAAGTAGTACTGACGGTAATAAAAATTATCTATCCGTAATTAATGTAACTGAAAGTATTGAAAATGTAATCAATGTACTTTAATTACAAAATTTCAACTGTAATTAATGGAGTTAAACAGTAGTTAATGTTCGACATTGTGTAATTAATGTAATTAAAGCAGTAGTTAATGGAATTAATTTAAAGCCGTTGCCTGCGTTTGAGTTAAAAGTTATTGCGTGCCCCTAGCCAGAACTGTATGATTCACTTAGTTTCTCTAAGATTTATTCAATCTCAAACCTGTAGATCTCTCCATATTTACATTTCACTGTCTGCTTAATCAGATAACTTTTATCATGTTTGTTTTAATCACACAGCTTTTCCAAAATAATATAACAAATTTCTCAATTTTGTTTATTTCAATATGTACACTGGAATTGCACGAAATAATGTTTAACTTGCTGTTATTATTGTTGTTACTATATGTTATTTAGGTTTTTAGACAATCATTTTTTGAAGGCAAAATGACAACATTCATTATTATTTTATCTTTACGTTGTATGACTAGTAAATTACTTTTATTTCACATACTTTACATCTCATTATATTAGCGGCGCCGGTGGTGTAGTGCTAAGCGTGATTACCTCTCACCCCAGCAGGCTTGGGTTCAATCCCAGTGGGCGCCGCCGGGATGTTCCGAGGCATAACATCTCTGATCACGCCTTCCTTCGGAAGGGAAGTAAAGCCGTTGGTCCCCGGTTCATGAGTTGTGATGGGTCGATAGGTAGGGTCCAGGTGTGGGAGCTGCCTCTCTTACGTCGGTAGCATTGGTGCTCAGCACGGAAAACAAGATCGACGGTAAAATTCCTTTTATAGGATTAAGATCTAATTTCAGTCATACTAAGCACAACCTACACTTTACCTCTCTTTTTAGAACCGTTTCGAACAAAAAATTAAATGTTTCTATTAATGATTGCGGCAAAGACTTCTAAATGTATGTTTCCTTTACATGCGCACCGTTATATTTGATAAAGAATGACAAATTGTTGAGACACTATTAAAAATCTACCACTATTTCCTGATTTCAATTCTGTCGTACGAGTTTTAATGCCGTCCAAACATATTGAAACACCATTGATTCACTTCGGCATACGGATAAAGGCAGAAAAACTTAAAAGCTGAAAATCTCGAAAAATTATCTGGAAACTTTTGAGTAATTCCGAGAATTCTCATTAATACCAAAATGACGTTTCTGCTCTATTTGGCGATAATAGGCGCTTAGGTCGAAGTAGCTAATGGAAACAAATTTACTGTCCAAAACGACCAATCGCGCAACCTAACATCAACTTCTGTCGAACTATGCTGAGAGATTAACGAGAAATTCGTTTATGTAGCTGTGGTAAACCAAAGAACAAGTCGATGAAGATAATCGATCAACGATAGACCCTTTTCAAATGTTATGCGAGATTTATTGTTCTATGGTATCGCAAAACAAGACCGTGCAAAGCCAACCAGTGAACGTGAAAATGTTTAGCGAATGCTTACATAACTTCAAAATGAAAAACTGATGATTCAAATAATCCATTGATACAAATAGTTTAAAGTGTACCCTACACGATTGATTTTATTTACAACTACCTGAGTGCCCGACCTTGCTCTGGATTCAATATAAGCTTTAGTGTAAGCGCCGAATAAAAAAAAAGCATGCTATATTGTACGTAGCCCCCCTCTCTTATCTAAGGGGCTAACCACTATGAACATCTCATCTCCAAATTTGGTTCCAATTGCTTGATTAGTTCTCGAGTTATGCAGAAATTTCTGTTTCATTTGTATGGAAGCCCCTCTTACAGAGGGGGAGGGGTATCGAACCATCATAAAAACCTTTCCCGACCCCAAAAACCCCTGCATACCAATTTTCACGCCGATCGGTTCAGTAGTTTCCGAGTCTATAAGGGTCAGACAGACCGAAATTATTGTCAATATTTTTGTATTCAAATAATCAATATTATTGTCAATAATTCTCCTTCACGTCAATATATTGATACACACGATACACAGGTTAACTTTAACAATTGAAATACAAACATAAACGTCTATCGATTTGACAGTCTGGAATAATTTACAGAAGTTCGGTAATCGTTTTAATAATTTGCAGTTTGTTCGGCGTTTTTTTTTTACCGAATTCGGCTATTGTCTAGTTTTACAGATCGGACTGTAATATTTTTTTCGGATTTCGTCAATTTAATATCCAAATTACCATTTCTACGGTAAAACATTATAAAAAATACATTTTGTTTACCGAATTCTTAATTTACCGATTTTTTTCGGTAGAAAATTACCGAACATGGCAAAAGTAGCTGAGTGTGTACGTGTGCGGTTTGCTTAAGATCACCTTTTCCAAAATATATAGTAGAACAGAAAAAACAAAAAAGCTTATTCTGTTTAATGAGAAAGAGAAGGATTAGTATTTTCCATTTAATTCCACTACTTTATTTGCTTATCCTTGACAGATACGCGTATTTCGTATACAATGTCCAGACTTCTTCAGTGTCTTGTACTAATTTCTGTTGTTAAACATCCAAGGCATTACCTCACTTACTGCTTGTTATTTGGTACGATAATTATCGGATACATTATTTCAGCTCGTTTTAAGACGCAACAGAGTTTGATACAACTAACAAACATCAGTTCGTTTCTAACATAAAAATAAACTTGTAGTCTTTTATATTTCAAATCAATAATAACAAATAAAATGAAAAATTAAACATGCCGAGCTTTAAAGGTTACACTTTGTTCCTTAGCTAAAACACATCAAACGATTATTAGTTCCGAGCATTAAAGGTTACACTTTGTTCCTAAGCTAAAGCACATCAAACGATTATTAGTTACATCAAGTAACGTACAATGATTTTCTTTTATATTTTTTCACTAAAACCGTACGCACAAATAAGCATTCTATCACACGATGTTCAAAGATGGCCGACGTAGGCAGAAGATTACGAAAACTGTACAACGCAAAACGAACAACTTCCTAACGAGTTCACAATACCAACAGTTTTTACCGGATACACACGCACACAATCACACAAACTGATGCCACGCCCGCTCGAATTTCGATGGCTTACGTAATCCTGTTTTTTTTTTATTTTGGCTTGCTACTACCCGAGAAGCAGGCCAAGTTTATTTCACAATATTATCTTTTCCATTATTCGCTAGAAAGAACATTTTCCGTCTACTCTAAATCAAAATTAAATGAGTCAGCCAAATGTTCACCTCTCGTTTTTTCTCACTAAAATCAAACAATAATTTCAGCACCTTCGTAGCCACGAATAGCTTCAACAGCCCCAAAATGATA